TTGTTTCGTCAAACTGGAGTGCATTATCGAATATGTTATCCGCAGTGCTGAGGATAATGTGTGAGTCTTGCAGTCGATACAGTGAGGTTCAACCTCAATTAGGTCTCCTTTTTTGCTTGTTCGCTTTCTCGGAACTTCCGCAGCACCTCATTTGTTCCGCAGTACCTTAACGGGACTTCCGCAAATAATATGCCGGAAGTTCCCCAAACGCTCTGCGGAGGTTCCGGTGAGCTGTCTGAGTAAATGAGTTACATCCAGAAGAGTAAAAAGATTTGGATATGACTGTCGCACAGGAAGCAAACAAAATAACTTGCTCAAAAAACTCAGTAAAAACCCACGAAAAGAGCATGACGTGTAGCTTCTTCAATATACTTGGAAACCCCGGTCACAAACGCATTCCTATCCTCAAAATTGGTGTCAAAATTAGTCCTGAAAATTGGGATCAAAAGCTACAATTCCAAAACTATGAAACATGAGAGAACACACCTGCATAGTAATGGGAGAGGGCGAGCCTCAATCGAAGGTTGGTCATCGGGGAGAATCAGATCTTCCAACAGCTAAAAGATTCCACTAAACTGGTCATCAGACTGGAAAAACTTACTTCTACATTCCCCAAAGCATCTTTCAATGTGACAGTTTCAGCCATCCAGGGACGGAAAGAAAAAAGATTCCGTGGTCCGGATGGGGAAAGATTTGGCGACCCGGACGAAATATGACGCTCGACTGTTGATTTTGGTGTCATTGGTCCACATTAGCTTCATAATTGTATTTTTCACATTCCTAATTTCTTCTCCATTCCTTTGATAAACAAACAAAAAACCAAACTATATCTGATCTACATTTCGATCCTTTCACTATACGGAAACTAAATTGAAGTACGACTTTCCGCGGGTCTCTTCAGTGGCGAGGGAAGGCCGTTCGAGTAAAAAGTATAAAAAAGGACTAACCTAAAACTTCTTGGAACTTGTAGTTGTACCATGGACGGGATCCATCTCAAACTTAGGTAACTAAACCTTGGGTGATTAGGTATTTAGTCTTGGAGTAAGAAGCATTTGCCATTCAGTTCATTTCGCGCACATCTTTACTGAAAGCATATCAAACAATTTTCAAAGGACGTTCTATAGGTCGCAAGAAG